GTGAGGCACCGTTGGGTTATACGAATGCTTCAAGGCCTTCCTTCTACTAAACCAACTGCCTCCATTACCGAGATACAGGGCGCTCATATTATAAGGTAAGGTTATAAAAACCATCTTTTAAGATCATTTTAGTGAAAGTTTCATGCTTCAAGGCGTACCATTCACTGCTCAAATACTAAAAAACCTGCTTCCATTGAAGATATAAAGGGCGCTCATATTATAAGGTAAGGTTATAAAACCACCTTTTAAGATCATTTTAGTGAAAGTTTCATGTTCCTATCTCATAGAATTTAAGAACAATGATGAATAAATCATTTTCGAGCAAAATTTAAATGGCCGGCTGAATATATTACCGCAGGAGACGCAGCCGCGGAATTTAAATTACCGCGTCAAAGGGTTAAAACAATTAAGATGCTGGACTGAAGAGACCATTGCAGTACTCCACAGATACTGTTTTGAGAATGACATTGTGTTTTTTATTTCTCTCTTACCTCCAGAATGTAAGTCAAAATATCAGATGAATGGGTTTTAAAGCAATGTACAAGGGCTGTTTGGAAAGCAACCTCCATTTATTTTAGGCAGCTAATGTAAGAATGGAGGAGAGCTCACACATGTGAGGTAGCATCACATGATTGCCTGTAAACAATCGCATAACTGGTCACCTAGTGTTTGTGCTTGTCTCTTCAGAGTGAGTTATGATGTGTGCTGTGGTTGATAATCCCACCAACTGTGAAAGTTGAACTGTTATTTGCTTTCTTCATGCTAAAATCATGAGTGCTGCGGAAATCCATCATGAGTCGTGCTGTTTGTGGCTATAATATAATGAATGAAGGAACTGTAAGGCAGTGGTGTAGAATGTTCAAAGATAGGCAACGAATGTTCACGATAAAGAGTGATGTGGTCAGCCATCTGTAGTGAGTGATCTTGTTCAGAGTGTTCACCTGAAAAGACGTGTAAATGACCGCTTCACAATTGCAGAACTGTTGCGTGAATTTCCACAAATTTCACGCGCTGTTCTTAACAAGATTATCACATTTAGGCTAGACTGTCACAAGTTTTGTGCAAGATGGGTTCCAGAATGCTCACAGGTATGCACAAAATGCAGAGAATGACATTGATTTTGACTTTTTTCAAATGATGCCACAAAGATGGCAGTGAATTTCTCATTCACATCATACAAGTACCAGGTGGTGAAACATGAATTTCATTTGTGAATGTTGAAACCAGTGAGCAGTGAAAGCAGTGGATGCACACACATTCACCAAACAAGCTGAGAAGTTTAAATAAATGTTTTCTGCCAGAAAGCTGATGGCAGTTGTTTTCTGGGAGAGGAAGAGAGTGCTGATTGTGGAATTCATGCAATGAGGGACCATAATAACTTCACAAGTGTATTTCGAAATACTAAAAAGCAGTGTGGGGCTGTCCATTCAGAACAAACTGCATGGAAAGCTGACCTCTGTTGCAGTGGTCATCCATGACAATGTGCGTCTGAATGCTGGTGCTTGCAGCCAAGCATTGCTGGAGCATTTCAACTGGGAGTTTGACTGTGCTCCTTACAGCCCTGAGCTCACTCTGAGCGACTACTGTATGTTTACCTACCTGAAGAACTGGTTGACTTCGACAGCGCTTCGACAATAGTGAGAAGTTGATGAAAGGTGTCAAAACGTAGCTGAGCTCTTTTTTGACACAGGCATACAAAAACTTTTTCCTCGATATGACAAGTGCCACAGTTCCGTTGGTGACTTCATTGAGAAGTAGCTTAAGTGTGTGTATTTTTTGTATATAATAAATTTTCTTGTTCTCATTGTTTTGTTAACAGCTAACCAGAGGTTACTTTCAGAACAACCCTTGTACTTTTCAGAATTACATTCAGTTTTAAAAATCATTGGAGGTATATTTAACTTCTAATATATAAATTCAGTGCATTTTGCAGTGTAGCCTCAGATTTTAAGTGTAATGGTTTCTGCTGTTTTCAGGTAATCAGGTGTAATTATTTAGTCTATATGATTCTCATTTCTCCCCCCTCCCACACACACCTTGTCTAGATTTCATCTTTCTAGTAATATTTGAGTACAATTTATGAAGCTCATTTTATAGCCTGTACCATTTTTTTTAAATTATGTACTTTTTAAGGTAAATTTGTAACATTTAATTGAGCTTTGTTAAAGTAGATGGTAGATTTGATTGCTGTAAACCAAAATTATATTTGGCTGACAACACTTTAGTGTAATGTCATGCAGTACCAAGGTTTGTTGAAATCTGTACGTAGTTTGAAGCTGAAACATTTGCACAAATAGATATTGTCTCCCCATTATGTGTACATTCACTTTGTATGATTTGTACAAAGAAAAAACAGAAATGTGGTCTGCATTTTAAATGTTCTATTCAGTTCTTAATTTGGAAGAAGAATTTCTGTAACTTAATGTTACCTTGAGATCTGGATATGTACTTGAAACTGAGTGTAACTTCTTGGAAATGAAGTTTACCTATTGCATTTGTTTCTGTAGCAGACTGTTTAGTAAACCTTTCTGTGCTACAGATGTAAATCTACATGCTTTGATAGGTTAGGTAAGGTAAGGTTAGGGTACAGATGTATGTATATGGCTATTGACAATTTTTTATTTTAAATTAACAAAAGGCCTCATCACAGAAAGAGCTAACATGAAGGCTGGTTGAAAGTACAGTTATGGATGCTTTATATTCCTGCTACAGTTAAGCAAATACTAATCCCTTTTTTTTCTCTCTCTCAAGGTCAACAAGAAACTAACAGAGCCACAGGGTGACCTGCCCCCGGCGGACCAGGTGGATCTGCAGCAGTTTATGGCTCCTACTCCTCTCCCCCCACCCCCCACCCCTCNTTGACGCTGTTCAGTTGGCAGGCATGGTGCCCACCCCTGCTCCAACTCCGGCACCCTTACTCCCTCCTCCAACCCCTGGAATTCCACCCCCAACTCCAGGTTTGCCTCCTGCCACACCAGGTCTAGTGCCCCCTGCCACCCCTATGCCACTCCCCATGGATGTGGAAATGCCACAGATACCTCCAGATCAGGTAGATATGTGTGTTCACTGTGATTGCATGTCGGGTTGGTATGGTGTCTTGCTCTTGCATACTCCTTGGCTCTTCAGTCCTCTTAATAACTTTAGCCTCCTTCATGACAGGTGTAGTGTTCGCTGTTTACCTTTTACCTCCACATCTCCATTCTCAACTCTCGGAAATCATCATCTGCAACTCCCAGCCATCTCACTCTGTCTTCCCACTTTTTCTACCTTCTGACTTCTAAACGTAAGAATGTGGCGTATACTGTAACATCAGTACTGCTTTTCCTCTCTCTCACACGATGGAAAATGACTGCAGATATTGCACCATTCACATTTCTTGCTTGAAATGTGGAGGTTGAGTGACAGAGTTCTTTTGAATGGACCCAGATTAGTAGATTCCTCCGCATCCTTCTCATCTGAAGACGGAAACAGAGGTTTCTGAATCTCGTTTTCTTAGGAGTGTTCTAAGTTGCATGCTGCATTTCCTTGCATCTACAGTTGAATAGCAGTTACCTTATTTCTTGTTCTTTAGTGTGCGGCAATAAATAAAATGCATTCCTCAGTCAAAGGCCACAGAAGGTCATAATGCTGCCATCTGTTACTGACAAACTGAAACAATAGCACACTCTGGGACTGAGTTTCAAAATGCCCTTTAAACTTGGTACTGTTGTTTGGGCAGACTGCCATTTGGAGAGACGATAGTGGTTAAAGTAATTATGAATTACGTGTACTAGAACATTGACTTCTAAGCAGAAGTCTGAGCATATTGTGGATGCCTAGCTGCTTCTGCTCATTTCATTCACAGGCAGAATCTCTGTGACATGCGTCTGTAAAGTTGCCTCTTGCAGGGCTCGAACTGCTCTTGAAGCATTCCTAGCAGGAGGTTGGTTGTGGTGTTTCACATACTCTTTATGTTGTCTCTCATTGCTGGTATGTCTGACCTTAATATGTAGTGGAGATGGGTTCTCTAAAAGATCATACGAAACCAGTTTTGTATGGTACAAGATGCTATTCTGAGACAGTTGATTCAGTAGTGCCTGGGTTACATGTTGGAGAACCATATATAATCAGCAAAGATAGAGATTTTCTCATCTTAGCAACATATAGTTCATCTCTGGTGACCACCCAGCTTGCTATTCATTGGATACCTGGTGGTTTATCAGCCAGGAGTAAAGTGGCCAGGGAAGGAAGCTGACCACTCTTTGCCTAGTATGTAGGTTAAAGATGCGTGCAACTGTATCTTCTTCCCCATACGATATATGTATATGTACTGCTGGTGAGATTGGACAGTGTTGGTTTGTTTAATCTCAGCGAGTGATGGATTTTTGTTACCAGCTCATATCAGATTAATGTGAATTGTAATGTGTTGTGTGACACTTGGAAGTAAGAGAATATCCATGAGCCAGGCATATTATATTACATTACATGAAATGGGGTCTGCGTGTGTTGTTTGAGAATGTTTTGATATATAACCATTCAGAAGTATTTTGTTAAGAGATCTCAACGAAATCTCTCGACCAGGTGCACTCTCTGTTGGAGCAACATGAACAGTCTCTGGTACCCCCCATGACACCAGCAGCACAACCCCTGCCTCAGCAGCCTCTTAGCACAGCTGTTGAGCAGGTGCCTCCCCAGACACCAGCACCAATACAGCAACTGCCAGAAGAACAGCTGCCCCATATGGAGAACATGGGCTATGATGTGGTGAGTCCTTTTTGTCTGTTGCCACCAATTGACTGCAGTGAAACCCCCAGTTAATGTTCCTAAGTTTAAGGGTTGCTCCTGTTTAACATTCAGGTTCATTGTCCCTTGTTAAGTTATCCCCATTTAAGATTTCCTCAGTTCAGTAATCAGAATGACTACTCCCACAGCTGAACCTTAAGGCTCGGGCCACACGAGCGCACAAGATGCGTCTGTTGTAACAAACGTCGTGACGTCCATTGTAGAAATAAACGAGAGGTGAATGCTACGCTTTCTTCTGGCTCCATTGCAGACAAAAAACTATGCACCGCATTCTGGAACTGTGTGGTGTCCTCAGCAACGTCCGTCATAAAGTACGTTCGTTGCAACAGATGTACTTCATGCACTTGTGTGACACAGCCTAAACTGTATATTGAAACTGCTTGTTTGCCCAGTGCCTGCAGGTCCTTGTTTTCTTTATTTGAAATTGACATTAAACTGGAATGTGATGTTCAGTTTCATGATTGTACCACTGCTGTAATTTGATTTTATTGCTACATGCTAGTGTAGTGGCATTGGCACTGAGAATGTGTGTATTGCTACATGCTAGTGTAGTGGCATTGGCACTGAGAATGTGTGTATTGCTAAGGGCTAGTGTAGTGGCATTGGCACTGAGAATGTGTGTATTGCTACATGCTAGTGTAGTGGCATTGGCACTGAGAATGTGTGTATTGCTAAGGGCTAGTATAATAGTGTTGATATGTGGGCTTCCTTAACTGATTTTAGTGTTGGGTGTCAGCCAGTAAGTACTGTGCAGTTCCACCCACAGAAACATTGAAGAAGCTTTTTGAATCTTCACTGTAATATGCTAATCATGAAACTTTATTCTCCAGAAATCATGAAAGGGGCAGAAAGCTGCGCAGTAAGTAATGGTATAGCTGGTAAAGGCTTATGGATGCAGAAAAGTAAAATGTGTCTAATGTTTATATGAGCGACTCTCGTACATGGGGAGTTGCAATCCTGAAAATCACCTGTATAGCTGTAATGCATAAAATGGGAAGTGCCTTTAATAAATATAGGAGCCAGGATTTTTTTTTATTTTTTTTTTGTTGCTAGTGGGGTGGTACTAAGTGCCTTGTACTGCGGCCACTTCTGGCCTATTGTACCAGCCCCAGATGATAGGTGAGGGTGATTGTGGAGCAGTTGATGGAATGAAGAGTGGCAGGGGAAACTGAAGTAATTGGAGAAAACATGCCCCAGTGCCACTTTGTCCACCAAAAATCCCACTTGACCAGACCCGGGATCGAACCCGGATCGCCGTGGTGGGAAGCCAGTGACAACCGCTTGAGCTATGGCACGGCCCTTAGGAGCCAGGATAGTTCAGTTGGTATAGCAACAGGTCACGGGCTGGTCTGCTCAGGTTTGATTTTCAGCGGTACAGTAATTTTCTCATCTTCACAACCTAGACAGACTCTGGGGCCCATGCAGCTTCCTGTCATATGGGTACTGTGTGCTCTTTACCTGAGGGTAAAGCAGCAGAAGCATGAAGCTGACTGCTCAACTCCATCTCGTGCTGAGGTCAAGGAAGGTGGAGCTATTCCTGCACCCTCCCCCAATGCCTTCATGTGCATAATGCTTAACTAATTAAGCACAGGAACAATTTTACCTTTTTCCTGAGTGGACACCAAGCACAGTGGAGAAAGAGAGATACCAAAAGTTGTGGTTTTACTTATTAGATACTTTATTTGGCAATACCTTTATGTTAATAATGGTGTTGCCACTGAAATATGACATTTGCAGTTTACAGTTACTGGTGCATTCTTTGATCCTGCACTCTAAGAAAGATCATGTCAAATCCAGAGCCATAAATGAAACAGAACCTTGAACATGTAAACAGTGGTGCCATGTCTGCATAAATGTTTCTATATAAGGACATGCTGGGGCTCAGGTGGCTAGACATCACCTTCTCACTGCTGAGCCTGGGATTCGATCCCAGGTGAATTGTGTGAGATTTTTGGTGGATGAAGTGGTGTTGAGATGCAATTTCTTCAGTTCTTTGATGCTTATCATCAGTCCTCCATTGCTTCTTTCATCTCTCACTGCCCCCTGAGATATGTGATAGCACTGACCAGGCAGAACTTTGTCACATCTTCAGTATGTAACTTGGGAGCTGCGTCTCTGAGCTGCCACTTGGCAGGTTACAGAACGAAGGAGTTAGTTTTGAAGTTGCTTTTTACATAGAAGATAAGGGCAGAAGTGACAGTTGGTACTGTAGGATGATGTCACAAAACATGAAATGATTCTCATGCTGTGACTTCCTTGGGTCATGGTGACAACAGGTAGTTCAGGGACGGTTTATTGAGTTACAGTTTGCAAAATGCATTGGATGTGTCACAGTAAAATGTTGGTGGGACCATGCTCACCTCTGCCAATCCTGGTGTTTTCTGTGGACGTCACATGGTGCTGTAAATTCATAAAGATGTACGTTGTGTTATATCACAGAATAATCCCCTGATGGCCAACATGGGTTATGATGACCAACATCCGCCTGCACAGACACCAGGTGCCATTTCGGAAAGAGGGGTGGCCACGCCGTGGAATGAGGACTATGAATTCCCAGCATCAGTTGGACCGGTGAGTGCTGTCTGCATAGTTTGTGCGTTCCCTTCAGCACTGAATTCTTAGCGAGCAGTGAACATGATTAGATTGTCCCACACCTCTGTTTTGTTGAGATTGTGGGGTTGTTGCAGCATGTAGTATTGTAGGTGGATATCATTGTTTCAGCAGAACATTAGCCTTCATCTTCAGGGTAGGGGTAAGTTTTGTAAGGATATGGTCAGGTTATATGGGCATGTCAGATTTACAGGTGGGGGAGAGGGAAAAGTCACCCCCCCAAATCCTCTGTTTGTGTTTGGACTAGACTTTCCTTTCCCCTTCCCGTGTACGGATCTGAGTACACACCTTTCTTGCAACCTGCCTGTATAACCTGATCATTATCCTTACCTAACTCACCCCTACCCTGAAGATGGGTATGTCACCGCTGGAGGGGGTGTCCTGCATAGCGCAAATGCGTCACAATATATATTATAACAAACTTTCTTTGCAGAATCCTTATTTTTGCTTTGCATAACACCATTTGGAAAACAGTGAACTAGATGAGAAGAAGGAAATAGGAAATTACATTTAAAGGGGGAAGCATATGAGGGATTTGGAGAGGTTTAATGTATGGGACTTTTTTCCATGGTTTCGGTTGGAAAAGTGAGTTTCATTGTGCATGTACCTCATGTCATTCAAGACTAATGATGATTTTGGCTTTCAGCCCGAGGAACAGCAAGTGGATGAGACGTATGAGCAGTTTGAGGAGCGAGTTCTCAACAAGCGTGCTGGCCACATGTACCACATAGTGAAGAGCAAACTCACGCGCAGCGACAAGCTGTTCTTGTCTGAAATGGTACATCGGAACAACAGGAAACAGGTAATCAGCTGTTGAGTACAGTGTTCTTCACAGTATGGCCACTTGTACTTAGCAAAAGTTACCGTATCACCATGAATTTGAGGCATTAAATGTATGCTGGCTTGTGTAGTGGTGTTCAAAATCATGCTGCCATGTTGCTTCATGATGTGTTTGTAACTGAAGAGTGCCAGGCACCAGTGACAATTTCACTTCATTTAACCCTTCTGGTGGCTTATCTTCCAGTCCAATGACTTTTTTAGTGTACTGGTGGTTTGTAATGTTCCACAGTAACACGATGCCTTGCATGATCTATATATGCCCAAGGAATTGCAAAAGGAAAAATGAATGGGTTTAAAGTTATTCTCAGGGAGAAATATCTCATCTGATTGTGACAGTATTATTACACAACCTTGGTCAAATATGGCGGTTCTGACAGAACCCATTAAATGGCTACCCTCAGATAGTGGAATGAAGGCATTAAATTATGTCCCTTATTGACATTAAGGGAGGAGGCCCCCGATTTGCAGCGGAAGTTGAAATTTCTGTGCAATATTGTTCATACATGTCTTGTGAAGTCAAAGCCAGAGTGAAGATTTAATATATAAGAATATATAAATGTTCAGAGGATGGGGAGAACCATATGCTCTGAAGTCATTTGCTGCAAAGGAAGAGAAATTTTGGAAGACCAGTGCTGAACACAAACTGGGCATTTTTCATCATCTCAGTTTGGTTAAAGAAACAACTTTTGGGAAGTGGGTCTGGTTTTGTTTCCAGTCTAGGGATAAGAAGACAATTGGTTCCATATAATCAGCTCAACAGATTAGGTTTCGTGTCTTTACCTGATGATGGAAGCAGTGCCGGCATCCAGAGCAATGTATTTCTTTAAGCAGAATGAGATAATGGAAAATGCCCAACGTATATATCAGTATAGTAGCGCATTTTCCTCACACAGTAAGAGATGGCGTGATCAAGGGAAATACAAACATCTAAAGGACATGAAGGAAACTGTTTGTCATACAGTGTTCAGCTGCAGAGGAAACCTGACAGCAGCGTAGAGTGGATGGAACGTTTTTCCGCGACTGCTGTGCCCTTCCCCGCTAGCAAGAGTGCAGTCATGTCACTGATTCCCTCATATCAGTTTCTATACATGCACACATTTATAAGAATACTGTAAAAAGATAACACAGACTTACTGTGCTTTATAACAGGTGCTGAAGGTGACCCCTTCTCCTTGCAAACATGCTTCGCATAAATAAATTATGTGACACTTTCTGAAGTTGGTCCATGGTAATTGAACCAGTTACACATGTTCTTTCATTCTGCAGAGCTTCAGCACTGCGAGAATTATTCTTATAGACTTTTCCCTTTAAGTTTTCCCGAAGATAAAAATCGCAAAAACTGAGATCTGCAGATCTGGGAGGCCACAGTCCTCTGCTGATTATTCTGTCTTCAAAGACTCCACGTGTTGCAACCATGGTTCCATTAGGCCTATGTGCTGTAGCACTGTCTTGCTGAAAATACCCATATTGTCTTTCTTCAGCAGTCAGCTGATTGAAGAACGGATTCAGTATATCGTTAACATAGTGGTCAGAGTTCACGGTTTCATGTAAAAATAAGGGGTCAAAGATTTGCTGTGGACTTACACCCCNNNCCCACCTTTTCACTATGTAATGGCACTTGCTGTGTAGTGTGAGGATTTTCATTGCTCCATATTCTTACATTTTGTGCATTGACATGGCCGCTAACATGTAACCACTCTTCATCAGTCATGAAGAGAAGCTGTGGATCCATGATCCATCATGCACATTTTACAGCAGCCAGTTGCAAAAACGAATTCTTGCTGCATAATCTTTTTGTTTCAGCTTATTTGATTACTGTTATTTTATATGGGTGAAATTTGATTAATTTTGTGGCGATGAAAGCAGATCCTATCGAAACACCGGTTTCCTTTGCTAAGTGTCTTAACTATTTTTGAAGACTGATCCGTAGTCGTGCCTCAATAGCCTGAACCTTTTCTTCATTCAGCACAGTCCTCTTCGATTGCTTCTGTATGTCACATGCTGCACCTGTGGCCTGCCACTTCTTCACAAGCTTGGATACACACAACTTTGTGGGAACTGGGGAGTCAGGATATTTACAACAAAACTTACGGATACATTTTCTGTAATTTTTTCCTTGAAAGTTTCAACAGTAAACATGCTGTTCAATAGTGAACTTTATTTCAGTATAAATGTCGACTGCCTATTGACACCGCTAACAAAGACTGACTATTAATGCAACTTACTGCAGTGACAAGATCAGACCACCTGATGGTGCATGTTTATCAGTGTTAATGACTCATTCAGCTCTCAGCAGTTACAGCAGCAATCTGTGAGAAAAGTTGTGTCTGCTGTATGCTGCTGCCAGGTTTCCTCTGTCACTGAACACAATGTATTTCTCTGTCTGTGGGCATGTGTGTGCTCCTCAGAATATGTGACTGAAGAAAAGTATGATGTATGCATTGGAATTAGTGATGACCAAGATGGGGGCATTGTGTTGTTATGATCTTCCAGCATTCAGGAAAATGAAAATGCACAAGGAATTGTGCCTGATAAATTAAAATGGGGACAAAACCCTGTAGATTGATATTTATGTTCTGATTTTCAGGTGGCCCAGAAGTTCTACACACTCCTTGTGTTGAAGAAACATGTAGTGTTGGAACTGCATCAAGAAAGCTCATATGACGATATCATGATCACGAGGGGTGCAAAGTTTGATAATCCGTCTCTCTAAAAATCTCTCAATATGTGGCAAGAAATTTCTTGGTGGACGAAAGTGTAGCTGGAGATTTTGTACATAGCCATTTGATACAAATTCTACAGATAGATGGCTGAGGTGCATTTTACGTGCCTGTTTGGACATGGAGAATTTCAGGAAAGGTGAAGCATGGTGTTGTATGATTGTGTGAGTGCATTCTGCTTTCTGGTTTTGAACAATTTATGTTTCTGGTTTTTAAAATTATTATGTGCTATATGCAGATGTAACAGGGAAAGATACAGAGTGGGAACTTGAATGCTCTCATGCTGTCTTTAAGAGCCTTCTTCCTCTGGTGCTTACTATCCAGATTTTTACCCCCCTTCCTTTTTAAAACAAAGTTGTTTTGATTTTTATCTATGACATCTGAATCACCACTTGTTTATTTTTTTGTTGAGTAGACCAGGTGGCATAGACTTGGCCACTTAATTCAAGGCTCTGGAGTTAACATACATACATACGTGTCACCATGATTCCAAATTAGTAATGTGATTTAGCAGCTGTGATGACTAGGTTCTCTCTCCAAGTTTGAAAGCTCTATGAATGAGGTGGTGTTTTGTAATCATGTAATATTTATGATATAAACAGGTGAAATTATCAGCTAATGGTGAACAGTAGATCATAAAAACATGTACATTTTCAAGGAGATTAGCATACTTTTTGTATAATCAAACAAAGGTGTGTGTGTGTGTGCAATAACAGAGTCAACCTATCCCACTGGTAATAAATGGGAATTCATTCAGTAAATTGACTGGCTCTTGGATTTACAACTGGGGTTCAGTTCCTGGCTGTGGTAGGATTTTTCTCTTCAATATCAAGTCAAGACCAGCTGTGACTCACCCTCCTTTTTAATGGGTTCCAGGGACTCGTTCCTTGTGGAAGGGTGTAAACCAGCTGGTGTATGGAGCTGATCATCTATGTCTGTTGTCTTCTGTTGAAATTAAGAATGTGGGAGATTTTCCTTCATGTTTTCATAGTGTGCTTATGCACAGAGGCAGTTATACCGTTACGTTTGGACCCTTCATGCACAAAGCTTTGTAACGCTCATATCAACAGTTGATTCTTCCCTAGATGGCAGTGCATTAGGTCTTCCATCAGTTGACCACATTTTCTTGTTTTTGGTGTGTTTGCAATGAAAAATTAGCATTGCTTTGTCTCCATGTAACTATTCAAGAATATGGGATGGATTTTCATGAAATTTGATGCTTTGGAGTTTTCCTGAAATATGTTAGCACATCAGTCTTCTGGTTAAATTAGACACAACAGTACTGGACTCTTTATATGAAGACCTATGTGCATTTCTGCACCCATTTAAAATGTAACTCACTAAATACTTACGAGATTGACTTGTTTTGAACAAAAGTAGAGATAAATGAAACACATTTTATTCCCAGCATTGCCCTACAAGTCTTACAGTTACTGAGATAATTAAAATAATATTGAGCAAATGCTGCAGAATTGGTGCACTGTGCATACATATCCCAACTTATTATCACTGTGGGTTGTGCTTTAGTTTAATTCCAGATCACGACAAGAAACTTCAATTAATTTGGTATAAATAACAGTTTTTCGTAATTCAGAGTAATTAACATTCTTCAAGTGGGACAGGCAATTCTGTAAGTGGAGATCTTGTTAACTTGTCAGTTGCATAAATTACTCAGCAGTGTTGAATGTGATGAGGATGGGTTGTGGATAGAGAATTTGTAAAGGATTTTAAAGAAAGAGGTTGTTTCATATTTCAAAGTGCCATCATCATATCCTCTAGAAGGACAGAGAGAATCCCAGGATAGCTCAGTCATTGTAGTGAGAGGCTGTGGGCTGGATGACCAGAGGTTTGGGGTCTGATTCCTAGCAGAGACAAAAGAGATTTTTCTCTTCTTCAAAGTATCCAGACTAGCTCTGGGTCCCACCCAGTCTCCTGTCCAGTGGGTACCAGGGAATCTTTCCCCAAGGATAAAGTGGCTGCGTCATGAAGCTGACCACTCACCTCTACACAATGCCAAAGTTGGGAATGCATGGAGCTGTACCTCTACTTACCTTCTCCCAGGACACCCAGAAGGATGTGAAATGTATTGCTGCTGAGCTGACTGCCAAAGAGACTGAGAGACCTCTGGGGTTTCAGATTTGAAGTTCTCAAAATTCTGAATGTGAAAAAGATTACCATCTTCCAGGATGTGGCACTGCATAATCTCATAGATAGGTCCAGAGGATGAATACCTGCCTGACCTTGAGGGACACACTTCTGCCATGAAGACGGAAGCAGCAGGTATTTTGAAATGTTGGCATCTGCTTACCACTCTTCAGTGTTACATCCCAGAAGACGTTAATGTCCATCCAGGGCTTATATTGTCACATGTTCATGACTGAACACAGGGTTTGGATTTGTAATTGGGTTTATTGAAGATGCATAACTTGTAACTACATGTAATTATAGTGCTAATACTAATTCACCCTCTTTACAATTAACTATGACATGCACTCAATGCCGTAGATTCCTCTGCATTTTTGTGCCACGGCTCCGGTCCTTGCTGACTGAGGCTGGCTCACACTGACTCTTCATGGCTGCAACCCCTAGCCAATATCTGCCTCCTTGCCATGTCTCTCCAACATTGGCGAGTAGTGAATGCTTGGAGACTCACTCAACAATCCTTTCTACTAACCAACTTGTCCCATTGGGCCTTGTTATATAGTCTCGGTGTAGACTGCATAGGAAACACCGCTTCCAGCAGCTCTTCTGATGTTGTGTGCACATATCCGTTGCCAAGGAGACATGTTTCCAGAGCCATTGCCTAGCAATGACCTTCTATTCTGGCTTTGAGCCCTCATGTAACAGTATTGTTTCACTTGAACCCAGAACTCTCTACTGTCCTTTATAACAGATCATTTTAAGAAAGTGCAACTAATAGTAAACTTTTATCATATAAAGCTGTTTGAATGATTATTACAGAACTTGTTTCTTCTCTAGAAGAAAGTGCACCACAGCCCAGTTATAAAGATCAGTCAGTCAGTGTTGTTCATGGAAGTACTTGCTTTTTTTATGAGAACTAAGCGAACTGCACAAATGAACTATGCAGATTAGATGTGTTACTTAACATTAAACTAAATGGTATGCAAACAATTGTCGCAGTGCTGTAGAGGGTTAAGGGTTCCCAAGGTGGTGGTCTGGGCTTTGAGGCCGACTGAATCGAATGGAAATTTTTATATGACAGAAAATAAGTTGCTAAAATAATGAAGATTGGGGCCTCCTGGGATGTGATGCTATGTAGTTGGCAGAAGGCTACCAGTGTTTTGGAGGAACCTGCTGTGTTTATCTTCTACTGTGAAGATGGATGCAGTGGGTCTCTCTGAATCATTATCACTGAAATGGAGTTTTGGTTATGCAGAATGTTCAAGATAATTTTTGGTTTCACTTTGTGCAGTTCTTGGGTTGCCTTCGAAAGGTACCCATTTGTCAGGGTTGAAGACTTTTACTCTGAAGATGGAAGCAGGTGGTACCTATCTACCAGACTACATGGTGTCACCAGAAGACTGTCATCTGAATTGTCAAATTTGTATTTTGCCTATGCATTGTCCGATGCTTGGTTCCCTGGTCTTTACCTGTAGTAGTTTATTTCAAACCACTTAAGAAACTGCACGAATGACAGTAATGCTGATTGATGTAGCTCGTCACAGCAGTAGGTTATAGCAACTGTCACGTAACTTCAAACAAGGCCAAGAGTAACCTTGAATGCGCAGAAGAAAAATTTCAGACAAGGGGGTGGGTTCGAGGGTTTGAGAAGTGACAGGTGGCCAGTTGTTTGTAAGGCACCCTCGAAGCAGGTTATACTTACAGTTTTTCTATCATCTGTTTAAAAACATCAGTTTCCTTGTGCACTTAAATCATACATAGTGAGTAAGAAATTAGGTCAGGGTATAGGTATAAATTAGTAATACACATTAAACGTATTTTTCTTTGTATGACGAGTGGCAATATGTTTGTATTGTAATATGTTCTTCGAAAAGAGGATAGGATAGTTTCAATGAAACACGAGGTGTCAGTGAAAGTGGAAGAACGAGTGTTAAGAAAGCCCTCCCACCACAAGCTATGCGCAGGATTTGACTAGGAATGCAGGTCCTTGTTCAAAGTTAGGTGACACTGTCTATAGCTGTCATCTATGAATTTTGCGTAGCTCAAGTTAATGTTTCAGGCACGCTGTCATGTAAATTATGTAAGATGAAAATGACACCACCAGGTCAAGAGCCTCCATCACTGCTCTTGATGCATGTTTTTGCTTCCATTTTTCTTAATGCCATTCACCTACCTTAGTTTTTGATCTCTTTTAACATCCCCTTTTCAGATTTATTACTGGCTGATTTTAATAGGCTCTGTATCTGCCCTAATGTGACCAGCCCATCTGGGTCAACTAGCTTTAGATTTCTCTCTGAATTTCTTGTCACAGTTTCCTAAGAAGAAACCAAAGTCTTACACTTTCACATCATTCTACAGTTGTGTTTGTGTGCTGTCCTGCTGGTTCTCAAAAGTTGTAGTGAAAAGAAATTGTGGGTTGTGACACTATATTCTGGTAGCTATTAACTGATTCTGTCTTGGAGATGGATGCTGCAAGTTCCTCCAGAATGCTGGCACATATGCCACACTTTGTGAAGCCACATTTGAGAAGATATTCCACTATCCCTACAGTGGTTTGAAGTTAAAAATTGCTGACAGTCTCTCTTCCATAATGTTGCCTGTGCAAGGTGTGGTGTGCCCTGGTTCATAGAGTAAGGTAGGGTCAGGTAAAGATGTCCCTGTGCTTAATTAGTTAAGCAATATGCCATGAAGACTTATGGTGGAGTGGAGGTATAGCTCTATCGGTTCATAGAGTAGATGTACTTCAAGTTCATTTCTGTGGTGGATGGTAGAAGGAATGTGACTGACTTAGCTGTTACAGAATAAGAGTATCGCCAGCCACTGTAATTGCAATTTTAATCGTTTCTTGCATCCTGTTGTGTGTTTAATTAATAGTAGAGTGAATTTACCGACTACACAACACGTGTTGTGTAGTCGGTAAATTCACTCTGCTATCACTTTAATTGCATCCCAAACTCTCAGTGAGGCATTTCACTTACAAAGTTCATTATGTGACCACTTGAGAACTTAATGAAGGTTAAAATTAAGGTAAGACTTCTGGGATGTGACACTGTGTACTTGGGTAGATAAGTACCAACATTCCAAAGGAACTATAATCTTAAAATACCTGATGCTGACCCCTTTCAACAATGTTGAGGGCTGCTTTGTTTCTAGCATGGAGTATTCAGTAGACATTCTGTACAGTGAATTTGAAGTTTATGAAATGGTTCACAGAAGCTGACTGACCAAAAGATGTTTGTATTCTAAAGTATTTCTGTATCTGTTACCATATTTATATTTGTGTAACAATGAAATGATTTATTCAGTCTCATGCAAAGCAACCATTTTAGTTTATTAGCCAAGCACTAATTGTGTAATTTGCCTTTCACCCTGGAAGATAAAGTTACAGATCGGATACAGGCTACAAAACCTAATCTTTTTGGTATTTACTGGTAAAGATGTCTCACCAGATTTCATACAAATTCTTGGGGTATTATAATTTCAGCTGGCATGCAGATGCATACACAGGTCTGTAGGATGTTATTTACAATGTACATGTGACCACTTGGCAGTCGCACCTCTTGAGCATACTTCAGTTTTGTGAGGTGCCTTGTGGAAATGTAGTTCTGTTGACAGATCCTAAATGACAGTTCATTAGTTAGGAGATTACAGCAGACTCAATACATGTAAGAAAATTTAATATTTCTGCATATTTTATGAATATTTCATTGGACTAAACTATACTGCGGTTTTGTAGCGAGGTATGGGTCATATAACCATGGTAAATCCTGATATAGATCTCGAGAAATGTTATGACATCTGCATTCTCTCTCTACTACTTTTAATGACCATGCATCCACAAAGCACAATTTTCGGCCTTTAGTTGAACACTTCTAAGGCCTGGCACATGAAGTGAAGAAACACTATGATATATAATATGTTTTGTCCTGTGGGATATAATCCTGTGTAGTCATGGGAAAGTCAATAGACATTTCAAAGGAATATACCACTTCCTTCATCAGGGTCACTTAGCTATCTGTTTTTTTTTTCTGGTTTCTTGTTTGAGTCACCAACCCTTAAGACAGAATGTCAGTTGAAATTGGGTGGACCACATTGTGTTATGTCACAGGAGACCAAATTCAGAGCTCTTCAGTCATCACTGAGAATCCCAATATACAATGCATACAGCTAATTCCAAGCAAAACATAAAGTTTTGGCTGAAAGAGGAGAGGAAATGGCATGTTTCACATTTTTACATTTTTAATGGTCTGAAGATATGCTATCAGCCAGATCAGCATTTGTCACTGTCATGTAACTATTTCCATTGTTCTCATTCATCTTGTAAAACTGTTGGACATTGAATGGAGTGTTTACATTCTTTACTACCAGTTGGCAGATTGCGCAGTGCTCATTGGATGTTGGTTTGCAGGTTGTGGGTTTAAATCCTGTTTAGAATGTGACTATCATTTCTACTCCTTAAATATAGTGCAGGAGGTGGAATTTTGTTTTCCTTTCCTGTTTTGTTGGCATAAGAGAGCAGCAGTGTGAACACTGCCAATAACAGACAATAACTTGGCACAGGTTTCCTATGCCAGTAAAGGTAACCATGTAAATCAAACTTGTATGTGTGCATTTTCTAAAGGTGGCAGAACAAGATTTCATACACGTTGTAGAAGAGTGTACATATTACATTTGTTTAGTGGGTGTGTTGCCATTCCCTCTGCCGGGCATATGCATGCACATGGGATGCTCCCTATTCTGTTTCCATTTTCCTGATTTTGATGTTAACATGTCATAGAATTGTTTACAATATGAATTCTGGAAAATGGCTTCGAATACAAACCTAAACATAAGGCCATTTTTATTAAGATAAATTTTAAAGGAAGGAGTCTATAAATGAAATATATTTTTATATATATTAACATTAATACCGTAATGAGAGAATTTGTACAAGGAACAAGACTTCAATTGCATAATTATTTGTGAAGGCTTGCCAAAAAGTGTATGTTGAAGATGTCTGCATAAGAGGAGACATTTTAAAACGGGTATAGTTACATAGTTTGATATTTAACATAAGAGGGACAAAAATGTTGTATTTTAATTAATTAAAAGTGCATTGTTTATCTGCTATTTTAAAAATGGTCTCAGAAGTGCTTTGTGCTGTCAAGCCTCTCTCCTGTTTCAGGTTGTGAGGACCAGTTGATATATTGATTGACCGTGCAGTCCTGCGACTGTGAGGAGGTCATGATACCCATGTGAACACTGAATTGCATCAGTGCTGTTGAGATTGCTTATTTCAGTTGAGAAAATAAAATAACCACACTGATACTGTCTAGTGTTCACACGTTCTAACAGGCGACGGTCTCTCATTGGCTATGACTATCACACAACTAAACTACAGAACTATGAAAAGTTATATAGTTGTCTAGTATATAATGCCATGTAGTCTGGTTGATAGGTACAAACATTTCAGAGGAGCATATACCTTCAGCTTCAGGTTACCTCTACCATGAAGATGCAGTCAGCAGGTTCCTCCATTGTTGGTACCTATCTACTAGCAACATGGTGCCACATCCCAGATGACTGTAATATTCACTGCCATGAGAACCTCAAATGTCATGATCACTTCTTGTTGTTCCAAGTCATTTTCCATTGCCTTATGTGGCAGAAATTGTAATGTATTAGAATAATGTCACTTTGTATGAGAAATACAGTGTTCAAAATGAAGATATTTAAATCTTACCTGCATTCTTGTGATGAGTGGGATGTACCTGTGCATTGTTACCCATTTTGAATGCTGCATTAGAAATGTCTTTGCACATTGGTTGTTGAGAAAGGCAATATATTTATTATATTACACTAATAGTTTGAATTGTCAAAGTGTAGGTAATCATTAAATTATTTAATGACAATTTTTTTTCTTATTTTCCACTGTTTGTATTGGGAGGAAATGGAATTGGTTGGTTGTAAAATGTACCAAGGCTCCAGTATAGTTACTTTACCATCTCAGATGTTGGCGCAGAATTGTATATTTGTACAGTTTCTGTGTACTAAGAGTTTGCGGGTATGTGAGAATTGCAATAGTACCTTCTTTAGTCCGGTTTATTAACTTCAAAAAACCTTCTTTAGGGGGTAAATTAGTTAAGTGTAAGATGTTCATTGACAGTGCAACTGTTTTTCATGAATATAAGGTTAATAAATGAGAAGTAAAGTGTTATTTGTATTTGTAAGGAAATGTATAATAATTTTTAGGCATGGTTATTTTATTTTGCTGTGTGAAGGATGTGACCATTATGATGTTCAGGAATTCTCCACAGAGTTCTTTCAAAAGAAATCTGAACATTTAACAGCGTCTTTATTTCAGTTCAGATTTATTTATTAAAGTCATGCAGACAGGCTGAAATTTATGATTTAGAATTTACCACAGATAAGCCCACAGTGTATTATCTAGTTTGTTTTCATACTTCTTCCTGAATGTACTAGTTCCAGGGAAGAAATGCCTTCTTAAGAAGCTGACGGTCATCCACCTTGTTAAGAAATTACATTATGTCGAGCCGCAAGTTTGATTCCTTTGTTGACAAGAGCCCCTCATTGGTGCCTATTTGAGCCAGGTGATTCCAGTCCACACCCTATTTCTGTAAGGTCCATTTTAATGTTACCTTTACATTTACACCTTGGTCCTCAAAAATTGTCTCTTGTGATCTTTCAAATATAAATTCTGTATGGATTTCTCATTTCTCCCATACATTCTGCCCGCCGCACCCATCTTAGTTTGATCATCACACTATTATGTATGATTTGAGGATCTTACAACAGTGGCTTCATGCTTTGCTTACTCTTCAACCCTGAATATGGAGGTGATATATTCACCAAAAATCCTAGTTGACTACATGGCATCATAACTTAGAAGGTGCAACTCTTCATTATTTATTTTTTGGGAGGTAACATAGTTGGTGCAGGAACTATGCTACAAGTTAGAAGGCCATGGGTCCAATTCCCAATGACATCATTGGATTTTTCATTTGACCTAATCCATCCAGCCACAGAATGGCCCTGGGGTCAGTTCAACCTCTAACAGAAATGAGTACACGGAATCTTCCTGGGGGTAAAGAGCTGCTGGTGAGTAAGGCTGACCTCACCCCCATATGTAAGCTGACTGTCTAGAAAATATGACAGTCTCAATGTCTCACATACCTGTTGGCTTCTACAGCCCGTTAACAGGGATAGCATTACCTTCTTCTTATAGATGATAAAGCTTCTCACTGTAATTGCTCCCATCATTCCTTTTACGTTGAGATATTCCTGTAGGCACTCTAGTCCCAAACATCCTGAATCATATGTTCTTCCCTTAATGTCAGAGAAGTTTCACACCTCATACAAGGCAACTGGAGAGATTATACTTCAGAGTTATTTTAATTCTGTGTTTAAATAGGCAAGATTCCAGTCCCTGAATATAGATACTGATTTCTTCACAGTTATAACCATATTCTCTGCTATTCCCCAAATGGGAACACTGTCGTTTAGTAATGGAACAGACTGATGAATATATACAAATTTTCAAAGTGAAAGAGCCCTGCCGATGAACAGACAACCGATTGGGTAGTTTTGGTACTGTGGATGTGGCTTACAGATTGGGGGACTTGTCATTATACAGTGTAATTCCAAATGATACTTGAGACACATACATGGTCACCAAAGTGGGAACCTCAAATCTCAGATTTCACAGAATTTGCAGATTTTACTTGTGATAATTACAGTGAAGTCCTCTTATGATGAAAATCCCACTCAAAACTGACATACGCATGGAATTGGGGTTACAGTTTATGTACTTCTTACTGCACAGAGTACTTCTGTAACATGCCCTTATCGACGACAAATAAGACCTCTGAAATACTGTGTTCCACAGTTCAGGAGTATTTTATTCCCAGATGTCTACCAGCGCTAGAAGTTGTGATGTTTACATCAGTCAGTCTTGTTACATGTCATCTTTCTTATGCAGCCTGTCCTTACTTTCATGTACCAGTATCAGAATGGTGTAACAAGAATAGCACATAGTTATTTTAGGTGTTTGGTATGGTACAGGATCAGAGGTGTCTGACCGATAAAGGTAAAAAATGTGAAGTCCCTGTGTTTAATAAAGCACCTTGAATTTATGATATATGAGGGAATGAATGTATAGCTCCACCATTCTTGAATTTGACAGTAGATAGATATATGTGGACAACTTCATGCCACTGTCATTTTACCCCTTGGGCAAGAGCATCTATACCCATTGCATAAGAGACTTGGGTGGTTCCAGAGCCAGTCTGCAAGCTCTGAAGATGATAAAATATTGCCCCTGCTGTCTAGCTTGTAGCCCGTTGATGTGAGGATTGAACAATCCCCGACCTGTGCTGATAATTTCTGTATATTGGTTGGTCAGTGCTACAGTGCACTATGATTTAACGTGATTTACTAAACATTACCAAGTTTCAGGCTAAAGTGCTGTGTTACATATTCACTATCCTGACATATTTAGACTTATATTAACCAATACTTTCAGCACAACCAGTCTAAGCTTCAACGAGATTGTTCATCCTAAAAATTTGTTCTGTAGGTACATAATGTCTTTCGAGTCTTACTTGTGCCATTTAGAATATAAAATAATTTGTACAACAATACATTTTCTAATAGGCTTGTCTGATGTAACATTGCCTCCTTTTACCAATGGACAGTACTCACTCATCTGTAGTTTATTAAGGTTATGATCAATGTGTATGGCATAACATCTGTACAGGTTAGTATTACACTAATTATGATTCTGACTTCCCACTGTTTAAAGATATATACAAGTTATTTGCAATTATCCACATATGCTGTATGTAAAATGTAGAAGTAAACAGTATTGCTGTGATTTCACTTTAAGTAAGCATGATTGGAATTCATACTTCTAACATTCATTTGGAGAAAACTGCATAATGAGGAGCTTCATAACTAGTACTCTTCTTGAAGTATAATTAGAATGATGAAGTCAAAGAGGATGAGGTGGGCAGGGCACGTAGCACGAATGGGGGAGAAGAGGAATTCATATATGATATTGGTCGGAAAGTCAGAAGGAAAGAGACCATTAGGAAGACCAAGGCGTAGGTGGGTGGACATTTTAAACCGGATCTTAAGAGAGACAGGATGGGATGGTATGGATTGGATTGATGTGGCTCAGGAAAGAGACCAGTGGAGGGTTCTTGCGAACACGGTAATGAACCTTCGGATTCCATAAAATGCTGGGAAATTCTTGAGTAGCTACAGATTTGGTTCCTCCTCAAGAAGGGCTCAGCACCATAAATAAGTTAGTAAGACTGGAATTCATGGATGAAAACATAAAATTGAGCACGCGAAAAATATCTTTGAATTCCTAAATGGACCCATTTCGGTAATGCTGCACGGGTCATCCGTGGCCGCGATCGCCGCGATGTCTATACATGTCTACACAAGTCCTGTTAAACGAGTGGGTGCCGATGTATTGGTAGCGTTTAGGAAAGTTCGAGGTGTTTGAGAAATTTTCAAAATGTCGACAGTTGCAAGTCCTTTATCGGTCGCCGGTACTCGTGCATCAGGAACTCCAGTACGGACACAAAATGGTAATGAACGACAATTAATTTTATATTTCTAATTGTTTTGAAAGTGAGGAAAATGTGCTTGTGATGAAGCACGCGGCCAGTCTGCCAGCCATGTTAAATACACGGTGGTGTCTTTTGGACCACCTGAGCACGAAAGGACAGGAGAAAGTGCTGTACGTAGGATTATTTGGCCATTAACTATCAAAATAAATTACACTGAAATGAAATGATTTTATGAACTCAATCAGGTATGTAAGTTTTGAGGTTTTCACGGCGATGACAATGAAGAAAGTTGTCTTCTGGGTTTAGGCACCGTGTATTCTTCGTTTTGGCCGACGTTTCGGAGGAACGTAGCGCCTCCATCTTCAGAGCAGTTGAATAGCTGCGGAGAGCAGTAGCTACAGCCAAAACGAATACACGGTGCCTAAACCCAGAAGACAACTTTCTTCAATCAGGTATGTTTGACGGACGTGCAGCCTAAACTAAATATATTGTTAAAACAGAATCCTCATTCAAAAGGTGTTAACTGAACCAGCCTTACTGCATAATTTGCTTCCAACAGTAAGTCAAGACGGTTAGGCTTATGGTTTTGTTATAAATAAGTATGTGAAAACTTTTTGGGGTTATGACTAGTTCTATCTTCTGGGATATAAAATATTTCGCTTTGTGGGAGGTGGAGTCCAACTGGGCCCACTCGGCACGCCGGCCACTGATTGGCCTATTGTAGCCAGCCCCGGGTGATTATGATAATGGAGAATTTGGCGGAATGAAGATTGGCAGGGGAAACCGAAGTACTCTGAGAAAATACGCCCTAGCGCCACTTTGTCCACCACAATTCCCATGTGACCAGACACCTGATCGAACCCGGGCCACCGCTGTGGGAAGCCAGCGACTAACCGCTTGAGCTATGGCGCGGCCTCGGTCCTTCTGGGATGCAACTCTGTCTAGTCTCTTGAAATTCAACTGTTTTTTTGAGAAACATGTTGCTTTTTTTTTTTTTTTTGCTGCTAGCTCCATACTCTTTGACCCTGTAGATGGAGGTAACATTTTTCTGAAATGTAAGTTGACTTGCAGTGGACTATGTGCCATAGGACAAAAGGAACAACTCTTCATAACCACTGCTGTTGAGAACCTCAGAATTTTCTTTTACGGTCAAGGAAGTGTTGCAGACATTGTGGCAGTGAAGTTTTAAAGTTACTTAAGTCACCTGGTTTACTGTTTATCTTTTTATGGCTTATTTAGTAACTCTATCAGTATCTCAATTTGTATAACATGGATTTTTTGGATGATTTATGAATACTGTTTTGGGAGGACTGTAGAAGGGGGCAGTCGTGGCATAATTTGAAATGCCGTCCAAGTTTTTACATGGAGAGACTGAGGAAAACCTTGGCAAACCCAGCTAGGATAGTTTGCCTACATGCTAAGATTTGAAACTGGGACCTTGTAAATATGAGCCTGGAGTGGTAGCCACTTCAGCTTGATGTGTGGCTGAGCACAGAAGTACAGTTGTAAGAACATGTTGCACCGCATGCCCACTCTTTTTGTTCTAGTAATGGCTGCCTGCTCTATTGCCAACATTGTGAAGAGCTCGCTGGGGCCAGTTGGCCTGGACAAGATGCTGGTGGATGATATTGGTGTACGTATTCTGTGGCAACTTGTATGGTCCATGGAAACGGATTGTGACTGGGTTTACTCTTACTTTTGAACAGATCATAATGAGATTTAAAATTCTGTTCAATCTGAGGGCGAGCACTTTCTTGTTCAGTTGAGAGGTTCACTGTACAAGGTGCGACAATTTAATTCCTGGAGTGGTCCCCTGAAAGCAAAATTTGTTTATCTGTGCACTATCGGCTGCTGTTGCCTTTGAAATACTCTCAGTATGACGATGTGCACTTCATGAGATGATGGTGCCACTACCAGAAAGTCTTGAAAATCATTTTCTGGAATACCTTGCAGTAATATCACATTGCTCTGGATGTCAGGAATGTCAGAAAATATTTGTCCCTTCAGGACATTTTTAATTTTGGAAAGAACCAAAAATAGCAGGGGGCTAAGTGAGGCAAATAAGGTGGATGGTCTATTTTTGTAATGGATTTTGTAGCCAGGAACTTGCAAACTCTTAATGCATCATGTGCAAGGGCATTGTTATGGTGGAGAATCCACTTGTCAGACCAGAGTTTGGGTATTTTCCTCCGAACAGATTCCCGTAACCTTGTCAGCACTTCCAAATTACACTGTTGGTTCACTGTTTGTCCTTGTGCAATGAATTCATAGTGAACTATGCTCATGTGATTGAAGAAACATACAAGAATGGTCTTGAACTGCGAGCAAGATATGAATGCTTTTTTGGCCAAGGTGAATTCTCTGTTTTCCACTGCATACTCTGGCATTTTGTTTCTGGGTCATATTGAAAACTCCACGTTTCATCATCGGTAATGACCCTATCAAACATTTCTGCATTATGTAAAGATCGGATTAAATGTGAAGCCAGTGTTTCTGGTCATTTGTCAAGATTCGAAGACCCATCTTTGCGGAAATTTTCCTCATTTCCAAATCCTCCACAATAACCTGTCGCGCTGTTTCCCTATTCATATTCAATTCTTCAGCCATTAGTTTTGTGCCTAATATTCGATCTGAGTGCACCAAGGTTCGTACTCTGTTCACGTTTGCATCTGTCCTTTGGGTTCTTTTGGCTGCCCACTTCTTGGGTCATCTTGCACATCTTCTCGCCCCTCTGTGAGCTGCCTATGCCATTCAGAAATACTTGCTTTCTTCATAGCGTGTTCACCATAAGCTACTGTTTAGAGGGCTAATGTTTCAGTAGCAGTTTTACCAACCTTCACACAAAACTTGATGTTTATCCGCTGCTCCAGATTCTTGTCACTCATTTTTCTGCCAACAGTATACAGCGGATACGTACTGCCTCCTCTGCTCTTTGGGAACGGATGACTCATTTGGTCTGTGACTCATGTAAATGCAAGTTGAAACATGTCTGAACACGCTTGGGTACATGAGTTTGCCCGACTCAACACCCCAGTGACTCGCTGTGGCCTTTCCAAGAATTAAATTGTCACACCTCCTATATTATAAACATACAGTCAACTCTCGATTATCCGGGGGCGGATTAACCGGTTTGCGGCTTATCCGGGGCTACTGATGCTTTTTTGAGGCTTATATGTTGTTTAACATTCATTCACTTTTGTTTCACATGGCGAGTTGTAACACTATTTTCGCACTAGTGTGAACCGAGCTCTGCATTCTTTGGTCCCGTTATGCTAACACAATGTTCTAGGGTAGGGGTGAAAGAATGCAAGGATTTGTGGAAAGTTTCAAGGACAGATACATCGCCCCAGTTAGTATCTTTGTATTGATCTTCAAGTGCGTTAGCAAAATGTCAATCTGTAAAAGGAAGCGTGTTGTGTTAAGTATTCAACAGAAAAAGGAAAATGCCGTGAAAAAGTAAACGACAATATTAAATTTTTTTAAGTGTTAAGTGTGAATGTTCATAAAAAGTGTTGGATGTTGTCGAAGACTGTGATTGAAATAACTAATTCATACTTCAGTGTAATGTAAAAAAAGTATTAAATAGGCCATGAGATGACATAAAAATGAGGTTGAATAAATTTAAATGCAGGTAGGCCTATAGTATTATGAAGGTACAGTATTACAGTACTACTTTTAATAAAATTTGTCTTAACCGGGTTTTCGATTAATCGTGATTTACATCCCCACCATTATCCCGGATAATCGAGAGTTGACTGTATTTGTGTCCGGTGTCAGCCAAACTTGGGCTCACAATTTGCAACTTAAACATGTATTTGCAGGAAGCTATAGTAGTTCAGTCAGTATAGTGACTAGGCAGTGGACTGGATGACTAAGGAATTAGGGTTCAGTTCATTGTAGTTGCAAGAGATTTTTCTCTTCTTCACAGTGTCCATATAACCTTTAAGGCCCATCTTACCTCCTGTTTTTTTGGGTACCAGGAGCCTTTTCTCCATGGTTATAATAACGAGTGTATTACGCTTACCAGTCACCTCCACATAGTGCTGAGGTTATGAATGCATGGATCTATACCTCCAGCCCCATACATCTTCATTGCAATGTGCTTAATTAATTAAAAGGGAAACTATCTTACCCAGTCTGTTTGCTGATCGTCAATTTTTGAAAAGTATATTTTAAAATAAGCATCAAGCAACAATTTTTTCCTATCATTCTAAAATAAACAGGTAACGGTGGAGGAAGCATGATTGCCATGCTTTTTGGTTCCATTTTTCTGCCTAGGTATTTTTTGGGTCCATTTATTTTCTTGTCTGCATGAATTTTTTAGCATGGAAAAAATTATGATAAACTGGAACTGACAAATATGAAGAGTAATAACCTCTGACTGTTGCTGTAGGATGTGACTGTAACTAATGATGGAGCCACTATTCTGCGGCTCCTTGAAGTGGAGCATCCAGCCGCCCGTGTGTTGGTGGAACTAGCGCAGCTGCAGGATGAAGAAGTTGGTGATGGAACTACCTCAGTGGTATGCATGTTTCTCTTTATATCGTAGCACTATATGGACAGTTGGAAGGGAGAAATGGAATGCTTTAGTTTGAAGTAGGAAGTAGGTGCATCCCAGTAGCTGGCAGAAGTTTCTCACATGAGAATGAAGATACAATAAAATACAGTCGCTATCAGAATGTTTTTAGCCCCAGCTATATATTCTATAATTATGAATATATCTTAAGATTTCATTAGAAGTCCATCTATACTGTAATGGTCATGCAATGCAAGTGGTGGCATACAGAAATAAATAAAATTTTAGGTTTTCATGGAGCAAAGGTTTACATTGTGGGCTTTTGTGTTATAATACTCTGTAATTCGGTATGTGAGTGCCAGTGTATTGGTATTGGAGGAACATTCTGTCACCATCTCCCCCATGCATTCCATGTGCCCAGCCCCTCGTATCTCTGTGTCGTCATCCTGATCATCTTTGGTCTCCCCCTCCTCCTCCTCCTCCTCCTCCTCCTCCTCCTAACTCAAGAACTGGGTGCCATAAGCCCATTCCAATGATTGGAAGTTTTAAAACTCATTTTGCAATCTGGTTTGGGCTTACAGTGTCTTTTTGTCCCTTGGGGATTATATAAGTATGCAGTGTTTATAGTGTGCTATCTTGCATCCAGTTTACATGCTGTTGCCAATTTAATTGATATTTCTAAATTGTAAACAGTATCAAAATTGGTTGCTATGGAATATTTGGTAAAGAGTATAAATTATGAAGCTTCTCATTATTCAGTTTTCTCCATTCTCTTTTTCCTCCCTCCTAGGTTCAGATATTTTCTTCAGCAGTCTGTTATCAAACACTCACAGCCCATATTCATCCCTTAATGTGAGCAACCATGTTTCACACCCATACAAAACAATGTGCATAATTGTGGTTTTGTATATTTTAATATTTATGTTTTATTCAGCAGTCAAAAAAATTGACATCTGCCACTTCTAGCATAAGGAGCAATGAACAGATCATCCTTAAGTCACATGACAGTACAACTTGTAGAGGGAGTTTGTAGCAGCACTGCTACACATTTGTAGATGACATCAATGAAGTGGCTGCAATACAAGTGATCTGTACAGGTGTGGGGAGATGGGTTTATTGTATTGTTTTCTGTTACAGGTGATTGTTGCAGCTGAGTTGTTGAAAAATGCTGATGAACTCGTCAAACAAAAGATCCATCCAACCTCCATTATCAGTGGTTACCGACTTGCATGCAAGTGAGTTGCTGTGGTGCCCTTCCGCCAGAGTCAAAGTGGGCAGCCATGCTTTATGTAAACCGATGGTGGGGCCCACTGACTCACTGACGTAAACAATAGAGGATATGAGTGGACTAGCAAATTCCTTTTTTGAAAGTGGAAGTTTGTATTTTTCTGTGAGACAGAAAGAAATTTGAATTCAGTGGAACCCCAATTGAATTTTAAGTTTGAATGACCCAAGTGAATAATTTCAGCATTATGTGCCCTGTGTTTGAGATTTCCCTCACTTTAGCATACAGATTCGCTGCTTTTCGGAGACACTTTGCATGGGCGCTTCACTGTACTTGTTTACATTTTCTTCTGAAGAGAACTGATTTTTAGACCCTGTTGCGAAATGCACAGCAGTTTGAGATTCTTGCCAAGGTGGATATTAAGATAGGTGGTGAGTCGTGACAACATTTGTATCAGAAGTTGTAACTGAATGATTTATTACGTTATATCTAAGTAAGATCTAGGAGTGTGTGAGGATGGTACATTAATACACACATTATGTTTCTGGACACTTTCCATCCTGTTTTTATTTAAAAAACAACATTTTGGTTACTGGATTTTGTCTCTGTCTTTAAATGAAACCTATTAATTTTACCCCATTTGTTAGAGGTGGTCTCTGTTTCCAAAATGTTATGTTTTAAATAAATGCTGGATGATAAACAATGTCCAGAAACATAATATTTGTAGATTATATCTAGTTAGGGATGAAGTTCCTTCAGGGATGTGGTACCAATACTTCAGATGAATCTGCAATCTTGATATTCAAGTCAAAGTTCTGAGGGACCAGGTTCTCCAAAACATTGGTATCTAGCTACCTAGGCGACGTGTCATCACTGTGTGGGTTGGCATAGCAGGAGCAGTTTAGGATCATATTTAGGGGGTGCTGAGTTTGAATCTGTCATTACACCAGCTGTTGTGAGGATTTTCATGTTTATATTTTTTTTACAGTTTCTTCAGGCAAATGCTAGATAGTACCTTGAGTAGGCCACAGCCACTTCCTGCTATGCCTTTTGAAATCATAAGTTATCCTACCACTTGATGCTTTGTTGTCTAGTTTCTGACAGCAATGTAAAATAACCTGGTAAAGTTATCCCTGTAACAGGCCATGAAGGCCAGTAGGGTTGTGAGAGGTTGAGACTTCCACATCTTCTAGACAGTCGGCTCACAGATGGTGGTAAGTTAGTCAGACATGTTCCAGCCACCCTCTACACCCCAGGAAGATTCCTGGTACTCATTTCTGTTAGAGGCTGAGTCAACTCCAGGGCCATAGTGCTGCTGGAAGGATTACGTAAATTGAAAAAAAAAAAATCCACCTTGTCAGGCCTCGAACCTGCGGTCTTCCAGCTTGTAGCATAGTACCTCAACCAACTACTCTTCTGCGTACCCGCAAAATAACATGCCCCCACAGAATATTGCTTCATATCCCAGAACACAATTACTTTAACATTTGCAATGCAACATCATAACCGAGAAAAACACTGTCCTAGGATGTAAGATGTTTCAGATCAAAGAATGGAGTGTGTGTTCTCTTTACTTTGTGTGTTATGCCTTGTCATGGCCCCATCATGTTGCAGGGAGGCTTGTAAGTACATTCAGGAGCATCTGACTGTCAGCGTCGAGGAGCTGGGTAGGGAGTGCTTAGTCAATGTAGCCAAAACATCAATGTCAAGCAAACTCATTGGACCGTATCCTTGTTACAGTTCACAGTTAACAGTGTGCAGTTCAGAAGTATTCATGTCATGTTTGAGAATTGGACTCCATTCCTCTGTTACATGTTTCCTTAACAGCAGCACAGCGACGCTGATTTTTTCTCGAACATGGTTGTGGATGCTGCTCACGCAGTCAAGTTTTCAGATGGCAAGGGTGGTTTCACATACCCTGTGAAGGCAGTGAACGTTCTGAAAGCTCATGGCCGCAGCGCAAGGGAGAGTGTGTTGGTGGCAGGGTATGCCCTTAACTGTACTGTGGCATCCCAAGGTTAGCATTTGGGCAAGTTAATATTATTTTGTCATTTCTTAGGGCGGTGGGGTGAGACTTGGGCACGTTGTGCTAGCCCGAGGTGATAGAGATGAGAGAACTAGGGCATTTGGTAGAATGGGAATGGGCAGGTAAAACCACAGGAAATGTTCCCCAATACCACTTTGTTCACCACAGTTCTCACATGAATTGACCTGGGATTGAACCCCTGCTGCGACATTGAGAAGCTTCTGACTAACTTCCTGAGCTGAGCGGCCTCCATAGTCAAGGGGTAACATTCCCACCTCATGACTCAAGGTACACGGGTTCAAACCCGGCGGAGGTCGTGGAATTTTTAAGGGTGGAAAAATTCAGTGAACAAGTCCTCCGGGAGGGACTTTAAGCCGTGGATCCCGTGTCTTAGATTTACGGCACATAAAAGATCCTCATGTCTCTAGGAGACCTCTGAGCAAAATTAGTCAACACATTTCCCGTCCAAGTAGTTTCCGATGCCTCTGGTAGATGGGGGAAATATCAGGTACTGAGGGCCGACCTCGTTGGCTGAACGGGGCTGAAAGCACGCACCAGTACCGGTAGGGTATGGCGACAGTAGAAATTAAAGGGGGACGCACAGTGGACCAATAACTGGTCTAAGTGCATGGGGAAACCCACCCCCTCTAATAATAATAAACTTCCTGAGCTGTGGTAAGGCCATATTTGGCTGGCTTGTGTTCAGTTCCACTGCAGTGAAGATTGCCCTTCTGCCTGTGTTTCTGTACCATGTAGCCAGTGTGGCAGAACTCTGAAATACATACAGAGCACTTCTTTGCAAGTGTTAACTCAGGGCAGTAGGATGCGAGGCTGTGGGCTGAGATGAATTGAGGGCAGGTTGGGGGGGGGGTGTTTGTTTCTGGAGTTCTTGGAGAGAAAGGTAGTTGAATAAGTGTTGATTATTCAGTGATGATCTGTCTGAGGGACTGAGTAATTATGTTACATGCGATATACTAACAAGCACTTGAATATGTATACAGAGGGAATTCTGTTTTTCAGCTATGCCGAAGAGGATATCAAATGCCAAGATTGCCTGTTTGGATTTCTCCCTGCAGAAGGCTAAGATGAAGTTGGGGGTAAAGGTATGTGGTGATAAAATTTTTTGGCTGGACCCATCAGTACTTTAATTTGGATTCATTGGAATGATAAACATACAAGCAAGAAGAAAGTTATCAGGAGTTCTGTGGTTCCATTCAGGCTTTGCAGTGGTGTTTAAAGAAGCTTAGAAATTGCTGGTGCTACACAGAACTTTGTGTGTTCAGAATTAATATCTGTTCATGTTATTCTACCATGTATTGTAGTTTTCCATGGGTGATTTCAGTGTATGGCAGGGCCTTCTGTGTACCTTCCTCTTCTGTTATTTCTTTATTCATCCATTTGTATATCTTCCCTTATGTTGCTTCTCCACATTCTTCTCAGCTTTCCCTGTGACTGTTTCTTCAGGCATTCAGTTTTTATTATTGTGTAAGAAACTTAATCAGTGTGTCCTTAACAAAGTTAAAGTAAAGGTAAAGTTGAAGGGTACAGTCTAGTTGAGAGATACTCCAGTGTTTTGGGGGAATAACTTGCCTACATCTTCAGGGTTGAAAATTAAGTCAAGCAAGAAACCAGCACAAGCAACTGATCTCTCTGAATTATGTGGCATTACAACCTGAAAACTGGATTTTGCTGAGCTTGCCTTCTGTTTCTACTGGTTTCTTGCTTGTCTTAACTCTTAAACCCTGAAGATGGTAATGATATGTTCCTTTGAAATGTCCTGCTGTCTCCAGACTACTTGGAATTTTAACACATAAGGCTGAACTCTTCATAGTAACTGCCATCAGAGTCTTGGATCCAACACAGTACAGGTAAAGTTGTCCTTGTGCTAAATTAACCACCATACCCTGAAGAGGTACAGGTTATAGTGCCACCATTTTTAACTTCAGCACTAGAAGGAGGTGAGTGGTCAGCTTCATGGCCCTGCCACTTTACCCCTGGAGAAGCAACCCCCAGTACACATTGTATAGGAGGCTAGGTAGGCCCCAGAGCCAGTCTAGATGCTTTGTAGAAGGGAAACATTTATTGCTTCCGCTGGGAATCAAACTCTGGTTGCTCAGTCATCCAGCCCATAGTGCCTAGTATTGGCTGAGGTACCCAGGCCCATTCAACTTCTGTGATGGGACCAAAAATGAGGAATGCCGTGTACTGTTGAGACATTTGAAGGACTTATGGTTATTTCCAGGTGCTGATAACGGACCCAGAGAAATTAGAAGGCATTAGACAGCGAGAATCAGACATGACAAAGGAGAGGATACAGAAAATCCTTGCAGCAGGAGCAAATGTGATTCTATGTACTGGTGGGATTGATGATCTTTGTTTGAAGGTAAATCACTTCTGTTACAGATGCTGTATGTATTGCTTAACAGTAAGTAAGTTAGGAAATGTATGCATAGTACAACAATTCTGGCATGTAGACATGTGTTTGCTCGACAGTTTATAAAGTGTTTGTAGTTGTGCTTTTCAGTGAGATACCGATTTGTTTGGTGTTTATAGTATTTTGTCGAGGCTGGGGCCATGGCTGTCAGGAGGTGCAAGAAGGCTGATGCAAAACGGATAGCCATTGCAACTGGTGCTGCTTTTCTCCCCTCACTATCCAATATGGAAGGTATGTACCCAGGTGTTCTGTGGATAGAATACAGTAATTCTATGGTCTGTGATGGCCTACTGCTCTATTTTGCACATTCTCCTTCTGGAAAAAAAGTTTTGCAAAAGAAGTGCTAATGATTTTGTAAACAGTTGAGCATTTTTTACTATGGCTCATCAATAAGGAAAATAAGTTTCTCTCCGAGGATAAACTGGTTACTTCCTCCTAAATGACACTGCTCTGCCTGGGCCCTTGAGGAATAGAAGAGTTGTATCCTCATTTTCCACTTGCAGTAGTCCTGAAAAGGGTTTACTCTTTCTAGTTGTCAGCTTCAAAGGATCATTAAAATGACCTTTTCCATTCTTCCCACATTTCCACTTTTCCTGCTGAAAATAATATTGGCTCTCTGGAAAGGGCCTTGCTCTTTCACTATTCATTTTCCCACCTGTGTTGAAAAACAGATGTCCTTAAAAAATCTACTTTAGTACCTGTCTTTCCTATTGACTTGGATTGGGCTTCTATCCTAGGGTCTCATAATTACCTAGTAAACTTTCCACATATCCAGGCCATTTTCTGAACCATGAAGATGGAAGCATTGCATTCCTCCAAAGCATTGGTTTCTGCCTATACAGTGTTACACCCCGGAGACCATAAACTGAACGATCATCTTCATGTGAAACATATATGAATTTTATTGTAAATTTAGTCATAGCTGCCAGGGTCATGGTTAAGTATTTGTGGTCTGATGGGCTGTGTTGGAGAGACGGAACAAAATGTAGGGCGAGTTTGGGGCAGCCCTGCAGCTGATTTGGTAAGAAGAATAGAGAAGGCAAGGTTTTCTTATGTGTTTAATGTCAGGGATTACCTTCTCACAAATCGGAATCAGTTTACTTTCCAATAATAATGACTGTGCTTGCTGCAGGAGAGGACAGCTTCGACGCCAACAGTATTGGGGAGGCTGCGGAGGTGGTGCAGGAAGTAGTGTGCGATGATGAGCTCATTCTTATAAAGGGGTGAGTCATTCCACTTCTTTCTACTGATAGCTTAAAAACAGTAACCAGAAGATGCTGTCTTGTATGATGCAACTCCATGTATCTTGGTAGATAGGTATGAATGATTTGGAGGAACTGATGCCTCTGTCTTCTATCCTGAAGATGGAGGCAGCATGACTTCATATTTCAGAAGGCAGTAATTGTCACAGTCACTGTCTTCATGTGTTGCTGTGGTGTTAGCGCTCTTGGCTTATATTCAGGAGGTGTTTAATTGAAAACTTGGCTGGAACACTGACTGAGGTGTGTTGTAGTTATCCTGAGTCCCTCCGGGCAAGTGCTGGTATGGTACATAGATTACGCCATGACTACTTCCTTCCAAATCCTTTCAGTTCATCATTAATCTTTCATCATACTATTCAGTGATATATAGCCAATATTGAATTCTGGTAATGCTTGCTACCATTCAGTCCAGAACATTTTCTCTTCTCATCTGCTGTCTAAACGCTTAAAATTTAGAATATATAAAACTATAATTTTGTCTGTTGTTCTGTATAGGTGTGAAACTTGGTGTCTAACATTAAGGAAGGAACATAGACTAAGGGTGCTTGAGAACAGGGTGCTGACAAGAATATTTGAACCAAAGAGAGATGAAGTGACAGGAGGTTGGATGAAACTGCATAATGAGGAACTTTATAACTTTTCACCCAAGTGTAATTAGAATGATCAAGTCAAGGAGGATCAAATGGGCAGGGAATGTAGCACAAATGGGTTAGAAGAGGAATTCATATAGGATATTGGTTGGAAAGCCAGAAGGGAAGAAACACTAGGAAGACCAAGATGTAGGTGAATGTATGACATTAAAATTCTTTCTTGTTTCCACAGCCCAAAGGCTCGCACAGCCAGCTCAATCATTCTGCGTGGGCCTAACGACTTCTACTGTGATGAGATGGAGCGATCAATTCATGATGCGCTGTGTGTCGTGAAGAGGGTGCTTGAGAGTAAGAGTGTCGTGGCTGGTGGTGGATCAGTGGAGGCTGCATTGTCTGTCTATCTTGAGAACTTTGCCACTTCTCTGGTAGGCATTGCCATCTAAACATTCTGGTATCCATTGCATAATGAGCCTTGCTGGACTTAGAGGTAAAAGGTAAAGCTGTCACTGTAACAAGCCGTGGAGACCCATAGGGTTGTGGGACATTGAGGCTCCCACATTTTCTAGACAGTCAACTCACAGATGGCGGTGAGGTTGTCAGCCTTTTGCGCTAGCTACCATTTACCCCCAGGAAGATTCCTGGTACTCATTTCTGTTCGAGTCTTCCTTGACTCCAGTGCCATAATGCGGCTGGCAAGATAGGTCAGCTGAAAAATTCAGTGACTTCATTGGGAATTGAACCTGCGACCTTCTGGCTTGTAGTATAGTGATGTGTTGCTAAAGTTTCCAGCACCCCTACCAGGAATTGACCTTGTCATTAACTTTACAGTCTGAGCTGCTATGCTTGCATAAAGTGTTTTTCTGTTGAAAATAACTGGATACCTGTACTTCATTTTCTACCATTAATGAATAATACAAATATGGCAGTTTTGCAGATTTCAGAGGTGGCAATAACACTAGCAGCATGGAGGATAATACAGTGAACCCCCCATTCAAGGTTCAGTTGGGGAGCAGAGCATTTGAATGCTATGTTGAGACAAATCTTGAATGTAAAGAATGCAGCACCGAGGGTACTAACTTTGGAGTGTTGAAATTGAACATTAAATGGGGGTTACAGTGTATTCAGAGAATTTTTATGCTAGTATGTAAAACAGTAGGTTTTGCCTCTTGTATGGGCATGAAACTTCATCTCTCACCCTAAGGTAGATTGAGAGTTTGTTTCTTGCATCCTGTTGTGTATTTAATCAATATTAGAGTCAGTTTTACCAACCACACAACATATTTTTATTATTATTACACTACATGTTTTGACCTCAAGAGGTCATCCTCAGGTGTATGAACACAGCTGTATAATTACACCCAATCACATTCGTCTTTTTACTTATTCGATCCTGTATCTTATTCAGGCCCACGCTCAATAATATATCAAGCTCCTCTCATAAAACACAAGTT